ATACATAATAACTTACAGGCAAACAATATTTTTTGGATACAAGTTTTCTTTAAGTCAACTTAAAAAAGATTAAAACTTCCACTGTGAATCTAAAAAAAATAATTAATGATCTTTATACTTATGATATCAATCATCCACTTACAGATGTGGTGAAGATGATTTTTTATTTCTTGGTTTCCCTCCAAGTGTGTGTCGTCGTTCTTTTGTTCTTTTCAATTTATGGTTTTTGGTGGGAAGTTCCTTGGATAAAGGGGGAATCTGAGAATCATCCAAAATTCTATTCTCTTCTGGAACAAAAAAAATTGATTTTATACTAAAAGTGTCAGAAGAACTGGAGAATTTCTAACGATGCAGGTGCAAGCTTGTACGAAAAAAGAAAAAATATTCTGCTTTTGTTTAAACATCTTATTTACAGAGGCTTATTTTTCACACAATACTCTACTGTAAATAAACTTGACAACTTAGCCTAGGAGATAAATCTACATCCAACTAAACAGTTCAATCAATAAATGTTTTATCTCTGATTATAACCATAAAGTGATAAAACCATATAATCCAGATATGGACATAATGAACTGAGCTTCATTTCTCATAAACAGTTTTATTTGCCAAGCAAATTCATTGATCAGGGTTCCCAACTTTGGTTCAAAATATTTTTCCAGGATATTTCAACCATTTTTCATGACACTTTTTACATACATATTTATGTTAACCTCATGTCTTTTCAGTTGCTTTTTTTTAAAATTTACTTAATCACATTTTACTTAAGTTACTTGTTCAACAAAATTATTAACTGTTATTAAGTCAGTTGATGTATTTCATAAAGAAAGAAATTTCATGGAAAAACTGTTTTTTCTCCATTTTACAGGCCTGGAAATTAACTTTGAAATTTTGCAGGTTTTCCAGAATGTGTGGGAACCCCAAAACTCATTTACAAATTTTATCTAGTTAATTCACAAATAACGCTATGCAGATACCTTAATGGTATATGTATTTTCATCAAGTTGGATACCATGATTAGGTTGTTATTAGCAGCAGCAGTTTTGTCAATAGGCAGCACTTACATACTAAACCAAATTTTTAAAATTGGTAAAACCATTTATTGACATGAGCTATAATATTTCTACTGATAGAATACTCTACTTCCAACAAAGCTTTTTCTAATACTTCACATAAGACATTATATTCTAATGGCTTTGTTTTCAATGAATTTTACAAATAAAAAGTAACAAGCAAGTACCAAGTGATTTTCTGATGAAGCTAAATCTTCAATAACAGACTTTTAACACTAATAAAACATTTCTCCTTTTCTTAAACAAAAAAGAATTGGAAAACATTGACATATTAAACTTGAAACAGTCCAAAAAACCACAAGTTATGTATGTAAAGTGGCTTCTATTAAGATTTTCTCAGAGAGGCTTAACCCGTCTTTAAGTCTTCTAACCTCACAATCATTGTGTCTGAGTTTATTCTCACCATGTGAAATGTAAAAAAAATTACAATTTTTGTTATGAAATGCTGTTCCTCAAGAGCCCTAGACATATTAAGTCTCCAAAATGCAGTCAAACTAAGAGTTAGTAGCTGTAATTATTAAAATGCACAGCAGTAATATTTACATAAAGTTCATAGCCATTCTACTATGCCCAACTGACCTAGAAGTTAACAACCAGTTGTAATGATCTGAAACAGGTGAAAAGCAATCTCTTGTAATAGAAGCTTAAACCCTGGACCACTCCAGTTCAAACTGTGACCAAAAGCTTCTACTGAACTACTAGGTCTTCAAGCCAACTTTATACTTGGATCGTTACATAGTATAAAACATAATTTGATGAATAATGTTGAAAACTTACTTTCAGTATTGGCACCACACACAGAAATGTTAGCTGAACTTTATATAATCATCATTCTTGAAAACTGGTTAATAAACCTAATGAAACACCCAGTTGTAAATTTTATTAGTTAAATAAAAAAGCTATCATGTTATTTTTTAATGCTGAAACATCATAAATACTACATACAACAGTCTCATTATTAAAACTCTTTACCAAAATTTTTGGTGATATTTGAAACATTTTCTACAAACTCTTGCTATAAGTTATAGCACAATGTACCTGAAAAGGGCATCATGAAAGTTGTGAAAGTAATCATAACAGTTATTAATGAAAGAATGAAAGTAAACGTAAATGAGTTCCCATAATGTAATTATGTAAAACAAAACAAAGTTTTACAAAGGTAATCTAAATTAGGATAACTTTTTCTAGTACTCTTAGAGACAAATTAACATACAGTATATATCTGCAAGTACTTTAAACAGACTAACCAAAAGACAAAATTATTATTTCAGGGCATTAGCTACTTGGGACAGAAACAAAACAAAATCATATTTTGCCGTAAGGAATTTAAAATATATTATACCCATTATTCAGTTAATATACATGCATTTTTACTTTATGTATTTTGAGAATCAGTGTTCCTTAATATTGTATCAAAATGTTGATTATATGAGGACATTCTGATTCGGAGTATAGTGAATTTCTATTTTGACCCTTACACACTAACAAAAATATCTGAAATGTATTATGGTATCAGGTGTGTACTACATAAAAATATATGTAGTTAACAAAAATCATAAAATATCCTTGTATCTGTCTTTGCTCATTCCTTACTGTTATTAGTAGATATGCTACTAATGACTACTGCTAATGACTAAAAATGTGAATTTATGTTGTACTTTTCATAGTTTTTAGAATTTTCTTGTAAATCAAAAACAATTTTTTTTTTTTTACTTACCCTTTAACTGTTAGTGAAATAATGAGCCAAGAATTCTTGAAATTGAAAATAATATAAAAAAAAAGACATTAAGTGATTTGAATAATATTCTTAAAAAATTGCATAAGGTAAACAGTTGATATCTAACATCTTTTGACTTATTAATATATTCAGTTAAACTTAGCTTATGATATTAAAATTAGTTAATGACATATCTAGTATTACAGTATATGTATTTAGTATGCCTGAATCTTTGAATATGAGAACATTAGCTGCTTCTCATTTAAGTGTTCATAAAACCAGTTCATAGTTATTTTTTAGTTGGATATTGGTACAAGTAAATCTTAGTAGTTCCTACATTGAATGGTTATAAAATATGAGCTTGGTTATTTTTTAATTGAACACTCATACAACCAGACTTTGACTGTTTTGAAATTTATCATTCATATAATCAAACCTTAGTGGTTTTTAAATTGAATGCTTGTACAGTTGAACTTTAGCATTTATAAGCTTCATGTTCAAACTTTCAAGATTTACTTTGTTATTATGTATATGTCCATACTCTGAAAAAAAAATTTCAGTGTGGTATAGATTGCCAATTGTAACACAGTTATTTTACTGAAGAAACTTCAACACTTAGTATGAAGGTGACCAGTTAGTGTTGGATGGGATTTAGTTTTTAATTAGTATTCTAAAATTTCTTTCTGATGTACCAAATGCTTTGGAAAAAAACTACATGAAATGATGTATAATTTATGAATAATGAATTATTGAAAAATGGAGTGAAATTGGAGCTCATTACTGTAAGTGACTTGTACTTTGTGCTACACCACTGAAACAGTTTGAACTAAGGACAAAATGAGAGCAACTTGCATTTTTTTATGGTTAAGGAAAGCTTTACAGCACCAAGGTTTTCATGTATAATGGGTCGAAATGTGTTTAGGTTTCCTTGATGCATAACTGAACCTGAGTACTAGCTGTCATAGTCATTATAAATTATTTTAATGTTACTAGAATTCCAGATGTCTTTCCTTATTTAAGCAATAAGTTGTTTCAAAATAATTTAAATTTTATTCACCAATTAAAGTGTGATTAATTTTTCACAGCTCATTTAAGAAGTAAACAAACAATGTTTGAATTTAAAGACAAAGTACTTTTACAGCATTGTAGTCATGTTATGTATTTATATACATTTCCTATGTGTACTGGACATTATATTGGACAAATAATTGGTAGATTCCCATCATAAGACGCTGACACCACTGTATGTAATAAGTAATATCACTACAATTGCAGATCATCAGTTGAGAAGATGTGACATAATGATCACATTTAAGCAGTTCATAATAATAAATGAAGCCAGTATCAATCATCAATATCCATCAAAGTAAGCCAGGTAATACAAAACCTATGACCCATTATAAATTAAAATTTTAGCTCTTGCAAGGATTTATTAGATATTTAAATGAAACAGTTAAGATAGCAGAATTATTTTAAATTGGTCCAGTTTTTCTGAGAAATGTGTTGATTTAAACAAACAAATTTAAGAGAATTGTCAGTCAAATGAATGGATAAAATATCTTGTAATTCAATTTCTGACATGATCAGAAAACCTTTGAAATATCCAAAAAGAATATATACTTTATTTTCCTTCATACTCTTAAATAAATATGATCTTTTAAAAGCATTTATGTGAAGGAAAGAACAAGTAAGTTATGTCCAAAGTTTACCAAACACGGAGCAAACCACTGTTCACATAGTTGGATTTATTATCATAAACTTAAAATACTGTGACTGTCAGAGCATTTTATTTATCTTCTATTGTTATTCTCATTGCAAACTTATAAAATAGAAACTCAAAAACTGTCAGATTCTGTAGATAATGTTCAGATGATAACAGAGCTTTATAATTTAATTCAAGTAAAGTCAAACCCCCTCAAGATTCTTACAATAAAAATTCCAGTTTTCTTTTCTATAATGCAGTTTCTCTGCAGATGAATATAACAACAAGGAAGATAATTTGATATGAAAAGATGGTGTATGAAAAATTGCAACAAAAATAATCATAATATTTGATAAAAAGAAAAATTGCCTTTATCCAACTTTCTGTTTTCACCATAATTGTAGCGGAGGTTAAATAATATGCAACTTTTTGTTTGGTACTTTAAGTATTTGTGTAGAATTTGTAAAAGATTATCTAAACTGAAGATAGTGTGTTCTTACTTTCACAGGAATATTGGATCCTCAGAATCACAAGCTGAGGGCACTTTTCCCTTCACAAAGGATCTCCCTGGGTACATTACTCCTCCACTGAACATATCCTCACGCAACTCCTTCAGTTTTAGTGGTATGCTTCCAAGTTATACAAGTGGGAATGAGGGACTTCCTGGAATGGAAAGAAAACGACACTCAACGCCTTATATATTTACTGATTCTATGTCAGACTACAATCAGCCACTAGATATGACAAAAAAATGTTGTAAAAATATGGAACAACAGTCACAACAAAGAAGACCATCAGTGATTACATGTGCTCCAGCACTGATGCGTTCACATTGTCAAAGAAAAGATCATGGTGCAAGACTGTCTTCTCCGCTGAGTGAAGCAAGTCCCACTGGGAGTATCTTATCTCATTCTGATGATAATGTTCAACCTGGTTATCGTAGAGAAGTGGTTTCAGGTAATAGTTAAGAAATGAAACTGAATTTTGATGTAGTATATCAAAAATGTGACATTTTAAGGATTAATATGTATTTCGTAGGCATAATTATTTTCATATGCAATGAACCAAAAATGCCTTTGAGTCCCAATGTTAAGGCAGCTTTATTTATTCTTATAGAAAAAAAGTTAAGTATCAAGGCAGATTGTAATACTTCCTTTTATATAGGTTCTACTATTTCAAGTTACAAGGCTAAATGCACTTTACCTTGTTTGTTTTTTATCAATCAGCATAGATAAATATAGCTGACCTCACAATTTTGTTAAGATGATAGGATTTTGTTGCAGTCTTTTTTCAACATTTGTGGATCAGACAACAAATTCAAGTGTGCCAAAATGTCATTTTTGTACTAATTTTATCAAGGATGCTTTTATTTTAGTTAAGAGGAAAAAGAATTGCTTTAGAACTTTTTTCTTATAATATGATTGCTATTGTTACCACAATGAAAGTCACACAATGCTGGAAGCATGTGCACTGGAGTTTCTGGAAGGATCATAAATTTTCCTGGCAACTCTAGTTTGTTCGAGTCTCCCTCTTTTTTTTAGTATATAAGCCTGGCAAGTAAAACCAGTGCAATTGCAGAGGCAGATAGATTGAAGAGATAGATAGATAATTGAGTCAAGCAAACAGTAGGCACCATTAAGTAAAGTATGTGAATCACTGTGATTTATAGCGTGTGTTATAAAGGTTGTTAAGTTTGAAGTGACTGTGGAAATTCTGCGTACTAAAAAAGTTGTATCAAGAAAGAATAAACTAGTTTTAATTAAGAAAGGACTTGTATCGCTGAAGTTCTACAGAAAGAATTTGTACCGGAAATTAACAAACGAGCAGATACGCAACACTATTCACATTCTATTCATTTAAAGTCAAATATTTAAAAGATATTTATATTTTTAAAATAATAAAAAATTGGCTTCTTTAACATTTTTAAGGTAACAAAAATATGTACAGTACTTTTCACCAGAGAAAAATTTAAAGTTTTTAGTATTAGACATGTCTAAAAAATGTATATACTTCTGTAAAGCCAATTAATTTTAAGTATCCTAATTTTTCTTCATATTAGATAGGGAAATAGAGATTTATTTAATGTGGAGAAACTAAAATATTTTTTCAATTGATCCATGGCTAATTATTAATTGGCTGAATAAGGTATTTTTATCATAACATCTGTAATTGTTATTTTGATTTTTATTATTATTAACTGGTATTTTGTGTCAGGTATGTGTGACCCTGTTATTGATGAACACTTCAGGAGATCTTTGGGCAAGGATTATCCAGAATTCCTTTCTTCAGCTACTCCTACAGCTCCAAGTGTTTCAATTACAGGTAGGTTACTGTAATTGAACTCATTTGAACATTTCTAACCTTTAAAATTGTTTCACATCTTCAGAATTTCCCATTAGTTGGAAAACCAGTACCACAACTACTGTGTTCTATGCTTGGGGCATGATTATTAATTGCATCTGCTGTTCATCAGAGCTTAATGCCTTTTTTCTGTTCAACTGGGATAAGGTACTAACTATAGGAGTCTCACCTTAATACATAAAAGCTACATTACACAATAAAGATAAAAAATACAAAACCCGGTTTTTGAAAGGTGTACCTTTCTTCATCATGGGCAAATTTCATTAATATTTACTTCACAAACTTAGATGAATTTATGTGTGTGTGTGTATGTATGTACACATGCTTTTTTCTCTTAAATTTCTCTATAAATTTTGGCGCTTCAACATAATATCATCAAGATTAGTAGCTCTGTGGAAAATATTCTTGGCATACTTTTTTTTCTAACACTATTTTCAAGTTTCAGAGTATCTGAGACATGAGTATACCTTTTCTAGACCTTTGATGTAGAAGACAATGTAATTTTGCTTTCTTTTTTTTTTTTGCTTTTTCTTGTAATAGAAAGTTTTCTAGTGAATCCTTCTTACTGAGCAACATGTTCCTTGTTTGCTTCTGGTAATATGTACAAATGTGGATTGGCAATCTTTAATTTACATGTATCTGTCTGTTTGTGACATCTTGGAAACATGATCTGTAATTTATTTTATCATTCTGTAGTTTTGTGTTTATGAAATTTGATGTAAACATTGTATATTTGTAGATGGAAGTGGAGATTCCAAGGCTTGTGAAAAACACAATATAATGTTCCTTTCTTTTAGCTATTTGTTCCTGATTTTTATAAAATAAACTTTTATCAAAGATGTAACTGTAGGTCAAATAATATTAAAAGAGGAAAAGCTACCATAAAGTTATGCATTTCAACTCAACCTAGGGATGATCCTGAAAAAGTTTCAAGAAAATGTCATTGCAGTTTTTGGAAGTTCAAACAACAAGCTTAAAATGCTTATTTATATTAACAATAATGGTTGAATGTTTCTTTCAGTTTAATAGGATAAACTGATGATTATAAACTTAGTAAAGAACGGAGATGTTAAAAATTTTTCTTTTATAAACTATCTTGAAACCATGGCATGATTAACAAAATTATGATGGTTAGCTTAGTAAAGCTTTGTTAATACCATAGTTTTAAGAGCACTATTAATATTTTTACTCATGCTCTACAGATTTTAAAATAGCTAGTAAGTTAGCAGTGTAATTGAATGTCGCTAAACTGTTAGGTGCTTAAATATTTCATAGATGATTGACTATATTTTAATCATAGAATGTACACATATTTTATATAGATGAAATGGTCATTTTAGGTCTGTTTATTGCAAATGATATTTTAAGGTGTGTAACAGCAAACAATGATTATATTAAAATAATAAATATATAATGTTAAAAATCAATACACAATTAAAATCATATCAAAATAATGACGCAAAACATGTAGTTAGCTTAGTAAAGCTTTGTTAATACCATAGTTTTAAGAGCACTATTAATATTTTTACTCATGCTCTACAGATTTTAAAATAGCTAGTAAGTTAGCAGTGTAATTGAATGTCACTAAACTGTTAGGTGCTTAAATATTTCATAGATGATTGACTATATTTTAATCATAGAATGTACACATATTTTATATAGATGAAATGGTCATTTTAGGTCTGTTTATTGCAAATGATATTTTAAGGTGTGTAACAGCAAACAATGATTATATTAAAATAATAAATATATAATGTTAAAATCAATACACAATTAAAATCATATCAAAATAACTGTATTGATTTTAACATTGTGTATTTATTATTTTAACTTTATACACAAGTTCCGATATAAATATTTATATATAATGATTATATTGATCGAAAATTGTTTAATATTAGTTTAGAATTTTTCCATACAAGTTGTATATTTAAAAATTTAGAGCAGTTTTTTTTCTCATTATTTTACATGACATTTGACTTCTCATTCTGGTACATAAGCTGCAGACTAGGATTTATAAAAGTTAAAATGTTCTTGCTATATTTTAAAATGCATTTCTCTTTGAGAATTAATGAAAATACATAATTCTTTAATTTGAAATTCAAATTGAATTTCTGTTCAAAAATATCACTTTTCCATAAAAACAAAAAATTCTCAGTGTGATTCACTTTAATAATTTTATTCTTAAATACAAAACAAATTCTGGAACTTCCTCTTTTGAGCAACAAAAAAATTAATGTAATGCTATCTTAAAGATTTTTACAAAAAAGTTATTTTTCTCTATTAATTTATCTGTAAATTATCATTGACTTTGTTGACTGATTGTATTTAAATTTTTCAACTTTTCAGTTGACGACCACTTTGCTAAAGCTTTGGGAGACATCTGGTTAAGGCTGCAACACACCAAACCTGGCCCAAAGGATATCACTACTGCAACAGCAGCTGCCTCAGGAACAAAGATGTCTCCACGTTCCTCCCCGTCATCACCAATACTACAACATCCCCAAGGAATGGTGTCTACATAAAGTTAGAAATGTTTGTGGTGGAATCTGATCTCTGTGTAATATATTATAGTCTTGTGATGGTTTCTTGAACTGTGAACAGTAAAACAGGATATGGTAGATAGAAAACTAAATATGTTTGTTGCCGTTATTTTTTTTTTTTCAGTAACCTACCTTTTGTGGTTACTAGAGCTATGCTTTAAAAGTTAATGTATGCATAAAGTGTAAGGTTATTTTGCATGTTTTAAAGCAGCTTTAAAGTTAAATACTTAGAATGTCTTTACAAGACACAGTAAGATATGAGAAAAAATTTTTCCATAAACAATTTTACAAAGTAATGGGGTTTTAGATACTTGGTAATTCCAAAATTAATTAGTAATAAGACAAAAGTTATCTTAGTAGGTTGTGATGCCATACATTATTACATATAAATTGTGTGGATAAATGGACTTTTGAATTTAATGTGTGAAGGGTGGGAGCAAATGGGAAGATGGATGAGTAAATAATGTATATACCTTGTTGGGAATCTTACCAAGTTGCTGTCCTGGAAAGATATTTTTACTTGAGAGCAAACTCTGTACAAGCGAAGAAATTGATGTTTGCATGAATGAAATTGTTTATAAACTCTTATGGAGGACTACAAATTATCCTGTGTGTTTGCAAAAAAAATATAATGGATTTAAATTACATATTATACTGATAGATAGACAGATGGAAAAATAAATAACACAATAAGTTTGAAACTTGCAACATAGCATCATAATCCGTAATCATTATTGTTTGATTGTTTTGTTTCAATTAAAAAGTTGAAAAAATGCCATTTTCTTGTCATGATAGAAATTTCAAATACTTTGAAAAAACATGACCCAGGTTAATGCATCACCTTTTGTATATACTAAATTGAACTGTTGGTTACTTTTATTCTATTAATGTTGCTAAGTGGCTTAACATTTATGTCTTTAATATTTGACTTTGTTCAGGTTACAGTGTTTCTTCCATATTTTAAATCTTGATAATGATTGTTGAAGCGAAATGTGCTAAGAAACTGCAATTATTATTTTACAAAACAAACAATACTTCATTCTTCACTTGTTATTTTGAATTAAGTGTTTTAGAAACATATATGTGTACTAGTTGCTAACTTTTTTTGTATGTGTACAACTGCGTATAGTCTGTAACTAGATGTACAGAGGTGTGGAATTTTGGGCTCAGAATTGAATCTCTGGTGTGACACACAGGTTTTGAAAACATTGATAAATCCATTCATGTAGTGCAATTATAGTGATCATATATCAATTGTAATAATGAAAATTGTCATGCAGTAGTAAATCAGATTTTTTTTTTCATATTTACCAATTCTGTTAAAAAGTTTAGAAATGAAATTATGAATTTCTTGGCTGAATATCGTGGATCTTGTATAAATGGTGATTCCCCTTTGACTTTCATTATTTCTAAGCTATTGTTTAGGTTTGACATACAGGTGTATCTCTTGGTGAGTAAAAATTAATTGCCTTTGGTGCATTCATACATTGAATATCATATTTTAAGTTATATTTGTATGGTCACCATCTTTCAAGTTTTGTTGTTTAGAAATGTAGATATAAACACAAATTTTGTTTGTTATTGTATCATTTTCTATGTTTTATTTTAAAACTAAATTAGTCACCTTGATTTTTTTATTATTATTATTTTTCACAATTATACTGTCTTGCTGCTTAAGATGAAGAAAATTACCACATTGTCAATGTTACTGTTGTGATAGTAGGTGAAAATTATCAATTTTTCCATAGTTATTATGACTTTGGTTATATATTAAATGCTTTAGTCTTGTTTGTAAATTGTGCACATATTTTGTTTAATAAAACATTTTCATCTTCTGCTGTTGATTAGATATGTGTAAACTTAGAATTTGAAAGACCTTGATTTATTACTTTAAAGAAATTATTCATTTCTCCTGGATTTCACTGGATATGCTTATCAATCTGTCATGCCCAACTAATGTATGACATTTCTACAACTATTCAGCAACGTTGCAGAAATGTTGTGTGTTAGCTGGGTATACTCTTGTTAATTTTTGTGTTTTACTAACAAATACCAGTTTCAAATTGAAATACTGTTTACTGGTATCCTGATTGTATGTAATGATCTGTCCTATGGCATACATGCCATATTCAAACATTAAAATAAGATTTCTTAAAGCTCCAAGTTAGTGACAAAGGAATAAAATCTTGCTCTATTGTCTTCATCTTTCAGGAAGTGTAATCCAGAACATCTTTTAGGGAAGATGTAGCATTATCTAGACCTAATAACAGTAGCCTGAACTTGTAAGGGAATTGTAACCCTTGACTAAAACTTTTAGGGAAATCATAATCCTGGTCTGTAACTTCAATGGAAGCTTTAACCCCTTGTAATGGTCTAAAATGAACACACCGCTACAATCAGGTTCAACAACAAAAACACAATTTCTTCACAGTAACAACACTTAGAAATAAATTAAACACTTAGCAAAACATAGTTAATAAACTAGTGCATGGCCAGGACTTCACACCAATATTAATAAACAATTTATTATAAATATAATAAATCAATAATAATAGAATCTCTCTCTATATATATATATAAACGTTGCTTAATTTTTACAAGTTTTAGTTATTGTACTCCAAAGAGTTGTATATGAAACAACTATCAGAAAGACTAGCTAAGAGCATTGGCTGTATGTATAATGAATAGGTAAAAACCAAAAAACAAAATTTTCGGTCATGACAAAGCTATCTACTACTGTCTCTAATTTTGAACTACTATCTGGAGAGAAAGCAGCCGATTAACAGCACCTTACGATTGAGACTGACTGTTTCTCTTATAACACACACATAGCTTAAGGTGCGTGGAATATTTTGTAGTATCACATGGATTTAAACCCAGCTCCGGAATCCTGAGCTCCACCACGGGGCTAATGAAATAATCAATTAAATGTAAAAGTACCAGACTCGCAGTTAATGTAGAAAGAAGTTTTGTTAAATTTAAAGTACTTTAAATGAGACGAGGCGCTTTTCGCTATTGCCCCCCCTCCCTCAAAAGAAAGTATTTCATAAATGACTTTTTTCTTATATTTCGACTCTTGCATAACCACAATAATCTAATTAAAATATAATACTTTTAAGTAAGAGTACATATAGATTGTATATTTTCGGTGGGCTGTTCGTGGCCTAATGGTTGGAGCGCCATGTTGCAGCAGAATCGCGCTCTACACCTTAGGACTACGAACACGTTACAAGAGTGACGGTCAGATTCTACTATTCGATTACAGTACCCCAAAAGTTTGATGATGGATGCTATTGATTTGTTGCCTTCCCTCTAAGTTCACCCGTTCAAAATTAGTAACCGCTAACGCAGGTGGCCCTTGTGTAGCTTTGCGCGAATATCCGAGACAATTTTTAGGCACAAAAATGTTTCGTTTTCGGTAGTAGGGTAACCCTCTTTGGTAAGATACGAATATTATCTAGCGCATTTTCACAGTGAATGACACAACTTTTTCAGTGAATATCTTTCAGGAACACTACAAGTGTTGTCCTAGAGATAAACCGACGATACCATGGACTCCTGATAACTAGTTTTGCAACACAAAAAGTGCGAAACATGATGTTTACCCCATATAAAGGCGCTCTAAAGACTTAATGTGTGCTATTTTTAAAACCACACGTATATAAGGTGTTTCTAAAACGGTTTTTGTGGTATCTGTACGAGTATTTTACTGCAACAGATAGCTTGAACGATTTATCCAAAGCTAATTTAAAACGTTCCGAGATATAAATGTATTCCAAGCTTGAAAAGCAGCCAGTCGGGTGTCACAGAACGTAATGCCATTCTTTAAGAGTGGCAGGCACTGCTCCTTAATGAACCTTAAAATTTTTATCATGGTTCCTATATTTTTCTTTACGTTTTGTTTAGAATAAAAAGTATAAAATAGCTTACGTTTTTCTCAGACATCACTTAACAATCTATTACTTGACCAGCTTGAGATGTCTTAACAAACAATTGGACAAAGCAGTAGTGATTAAACTACAGTTTGTGCCACCATTTATTCAAAGTATGTAGTCTATAATGTAAGAAATATTGAGAAAACATATTAATCAAATAAAAAATTTTCAATACCATAACGATTTCAAGATTGTTAGAAATTAATTTGAACAGTCTTAATCGTTCACTGTAAAACCACTGTCGTTTTTTTTATTTTTTGGTCCACTTATGAGAGTATCAGTTTGCATTCCAAGACTTCTTTTTATAGCATTGAAAATTAAAAAAAATACACAAAAACTATTAGAACGTCTGCCCTTTGCTTTCTAATCCTGTCCTAAGCAATGAAAAAAACAATAAAACTTTTAAAACACATAACATCTGTATCCCGACACTTTCATAACACATTAAAATTAAAAAAAGAAAGAAAGAAAACAAAACCAAGTACGTCAAGTTACATATGCACAACTAGGTAGTGATACTTAAAAAGAAGTTATGTAAAAACAATCAGAAGTTGATTTTGATCGAATTCAATGCAATTTTTAGGAATTCTGTTGGACAGATTCATTAATAAAAATTATTAATTAACAGGAAATGCTTCGGTGAGTTATGTGTGTTTGTATATATATTGTTACGTCTCTGGTCGTTAGTTAATTTTCCGTAAAAATTATTTCCCAAGAAACTTTGGCGATACAAGTCCTTTCTTAAATAAAACTGGTTTATTCTTTCTGAATACAACTTTGCAATACACTTAATTTCCACAGTCACGCTATAACAAACGACATAATTCACAATGAACGTCTCACGTGCTCGACTCAACTGTCAATTACACATT